CCCCCGCCCCTCCCTCCCGTCTGCAACGGTCCTACATCAAAGCACGGTCCTACATCAAAGCTATTAGGCAGTCTCAAAGTGCATCCCACAACAAGTCCCCGTCCACGTTCGTGCTCCATCGCCGCCCGCCCGCGCCGTTCCCCACGATGCCCAAGTCCACTGTATGCCGAACGCCGTTCGCATCCACCTCCCACAAAAGGTTCTCGTCGAAGTCGATCCCCGCATCAAGGAGGATGTTGTGGAGAGTGCACACGGCCACGAATTGCTGTGGCAATGTCTCCAGGTTCGTCTTGTGGGTGCGCAAGAACAGACCCCACATGCACTTCAGTCGCCCGAATGCCCTCTTCACACACCCCCACGCCACCTTTTGTCGCGTGTCAAAGCGCTCCTCGTCAGGACCCTGGTCGATTCCTCCGTACGGCTGCACGATCCATGGACAAGCAACTGGATAACCGTTGTCGCCCAGCAGGTAACCACGCGTGACGACACCGTGCGACAGATTCTCCGGAGGTGCGTCGAACAGCTCGCCAGTTTCTGCACGCCTCCACAGCTGGGAGTTGTGCAAGACACGGCCGCCGTGCACACTTCTCGGGTATCCGATGTGGACGTCGAGGATCCGCAGATCCATATCCACCACCACCTGCGCCTGCATGGAGAACTTCTGTTTTCGGTCGTAGTAGTTGGCCGAAGGTGCACCGGCGGGCTTGTCAATGTAGATGTGTGTACAGTCGATTGCGCCGAAGCAGTTTGGGAAACCCTTCTCACGGAAAGAGCGCAGAATTTGTGCACGTCTACAGCCCACTAGCCACTTTATCGCGTTGGGGTACGCCTGCAACAGCGCCGAAGTGACGTCGTGGACGGCCTGCAGTCCAGTTGCTCTGCCGATGCCGAAGGCTGACGTGTCGCTCTCGTACGTCTCTCCGGACGCCCACCTCTACAACGCGAAAGCGATCACCTGCTCCACGGGCAATGGCATCCTATAGTGCGTGACCTTCTTCTCCACGTACGTGGCGCACGCGGTTACGATCTGGGTGAACATGGCCATCGATATGTGCAACTTCTGCCGGTAGTACTCGTCCGCCTCGTCATCACACATGCGGAGGTCCTCCCATGTTCCGCCAGTCCATCGTCTAATCCACCAACGCGGGGTCTGCAACGGGAAAACGCCAGACGATAGCGCGACACACAATTGGACGACTGCCTCACACGTGGCCACGCAATCCGGCGCTTCGGCAACGCTCTGCAACAACGCTCTTCGTTTACGGAGCTGCATCACCATGTCGCGTGAGGACAACGACATGTCGTTCATCGTGTTGACGACGACGGCAGTCACCACCATCGCCACCGCGTCGATCTCTTCTTCACGTAGACCGTGCCCGCAGCCGCGAACGTCCATCTCTGAGAATTGTTCCGCCTCTACAGCGTAACACCTGCCACAGCCGCTGAAGACACGACCGCTGCTCAACCCTGCCGCAGGAGACCACGCACGCCGGAGCCGAAGATGCGCCTGCTGCTGTACGCTGCCACAGGAGATGACGCACGCCGGAGCCGAAGACGCGCCTGCTGCTCTATGCTTCCACAGGACAGGACACACGCCGGATGTGAAGATGCGCCTTGCAGGAAGATGCGCCCGCTGGTCACAACTTGCGTAGACTCAAAAGATGGATACCCACGCCGAATGGGTCTTTTCTACGTCACACGCGTCGCCTGGCCGTCCTCCGCCCCCCCCCCCCCTCAACCTGCATATGCAAAAATTCGAATTTGAATTTTCGAAGTTCGGGGTGACCGGGCTTTTCACCCACCCATCCTCACCCGCCCAAGGGCCACCGTAGTGTGTACCACGGACACCAGCCAGGAATGGACGGACATCGGCGACGCGGCTGCGTATACGCATATGAAAAATGGCCGCGGGAGACCTTTTAGGACGAATCCTAAAAGATGATTTTTAGGATTGCGTGTAACGACGCCGCACGAAATCCTAAAAAACCTTTAGGACTCGTCCTCAAAATTTTAGGATTCTTTTAGGAGTGTCTAACGAGACCCTAAGGGCGTATTCACACGGCGACCCCAAACCCGCAATTTGGGAAGGGCCGATTTGAGGTTTTGGGCATGGTTCACGTCACAATGCTGTGTCTTTTAGGAGTGTCTAACGAGACCCTAAGGGCATATTCACACGGCGACCCCAAACCCGCAATTTGGGAAGGGCCGATTTGAGGTTTTGGGCATGGTTCAGGTCACAATGCTGTGCCTTTTCAGATGGGACAAGGTCGCGGCCGTCTGGAGAAATGGGGATCTGGTACAGTGGTACTTGGCTGGTCACACCGCGCCATCCGCTAATTGTGCAAGAACTTTTGTGAACGAAATTTTGCCAATTTTTGACGAAAAATGCAACAAATGAAAAAGGGCATTTCAAAAAAAAAAAAAAAAAAAAAAAAAAAAAAGGGCATTTGCGCAAAATCCGTTGCCTCGCAGCTTCCCAGGCGGCTAACAAATGGGTACTGGAATGGTACATTTGCGAATTTGGTAGATCCGTGTGACCTGCCTTTTCCCCTTTTTTGGGGGATTTTGGGATTATAGGTCCCCGTGTGAGTATGCCCTGAGTATGCCCTCCCGAAGTGCAGCCACGACCGAACTCATGCCGCACTCTTGATTTTTTTTTTTATTTTTTTTTTATTTTTTTTTTTTCAAAAAGGGCGACGGCCTTGAGATATTATCATTGAGTTGACGGGCCCCAAGCAATTCCTTAGTCGTTGGTTTTACTCATCAAGTGGTTCCTTCATCTGGATAAGAACACAGGTCTGTATTTCAACAGTTCATGGGTGTGGTCCCCACTGAGCTAGCCTCTTGGGTCTCTTCATTTTTTTCACGACTGGGAGTCGTGAGTAGTTCAGCGAGGCCCGATATCACTGCCTCTTTCGTCCAGGACGGACTGCCAGTTGTCACTACCTACGGCCCTACCTATGGCCCGGGGTCGTCAGTGGAAACAAAAACAACGTTTCCATGCACTGCAGCTACCGGTAGTCTACAGTCAGCTACCGGGGTTTTAGTTGCACGGCCCGGCATTCGCCAGGGTCTCGAACGCATCGGCACAACACGTGCGTCCTGACGCCTTTTTTCCTTTTCGTTTATGTAATAATAATATTTCAAATGGTATATTATACGCTGGAGCGAGCGATACCGATAAGATTTTTTTTATCTAGATACCGAGAAGAGTCGCATGGCCCCCTGCAAAAAAAAAAAAAAAAAAAAAAAGATTCCATGCACGGCTGCGAATGTAGGCTACTTCGTTTTTCTTCTTTTTTTTCCCTTTTTTTCATTGAACTCGTGGTAGCTCAGTTGGTAAGGCAGGAGGTCTTGGGTTCCATCCCCATTGGCCTCATGTAAATTCATCCTGGGCATACTTGGCGCCCGCCACCTAGAGCTAGACCGTTGGTCCCCCCAATTGGCATTGAAAAGAGGTCTCTGCTGATGATCATAGGGGGGGGGGGTAATCGGGGAGGCACAGCGACTGGCCACTCAGATGATGCTCGCTCTGTCCCTCTGCTACCGGCTGTCCCCTGGCCGGTGTCCCCCATTGGGGGTTCCCTGAAGGCAATCAAGGCCACCCTGGGCTGAAAAGGCCACGCGATGTCAGATTAGACACAATGTTGAATTTACGGGCTGGTTAGTCCGATGATAATACCTCAAGGCCATCGCGCTTTCAAAAAAAAAAAAAAGATATTTCGACCACAAAATTATGCATCTGGGCGGGACTTCGTCCAGGTGCAGGCTATGCAAAAAGTGTTTTTTTTTTTTTTCTTCTTTTTTCTTTTTATACAGACGGGGGACCGTGCCCGGCGTCTCTTGACCACTTATTGGCCCTCGCTGCACTACTCTTCCAATGTGCAAAATGAGACTGAATCCACGGCTAGAACATGCAAAGATACATTCCCATCTTTTCTGTCTTTTGTGCATGTGTAGAGTAGTGCAGCCCGGGCCATTATTGTGTTCCCCTATGCCAGTGGCCTCACCAGCCCAACTCTGCCAAGGGGACAGACTGAAAAAGAAATCGAACAACAACAAATGCTCTGTCCTACAAAAAGAAAGGGGAATCAGTCCTGCAAATGACCCCACTGGGAACTCTAGCCCTACAATAGGTCACTCACTGCAGGCAACCAATACACTATAATTGTTAATTGATCGATCAACTGATAGTCTGATAGAGGCAATCAGACAAGTAGCCTACTTCAGCTGCACCAAAAGTTGGGTTTTCAGGGGTCCTACCATCTATCTGCACACGAACATAACGCACCCCCATTCATTTTTACGGTGCGTTATGTTGGGGGAAGACCGTAGGGGGTTCAG